CTATGCCTTTGTGAAATCCTTCTACCAAGTCAAATTCAACCAAGTGGGAGTCAGCGAAAAGAAATCAATTCTCCCCTTGGCATTCAGAAGAAAACCGAACCCGGACGGAAGCGGTGGATCGATCAACCCCTTCATGCGCCTTGCAAATAAGTCTGGATTCTTGCAGAGTACGCCTGCTTTTGGAACAGTAGCTTCACGAAGGCGGACGACCTTGATTGCCACCATGGAGTATGACATTGAGGACTGGGCTATCAAGATTAAAATCGGCGGCCTGGGTGTTATGGCCCAGTTGATGGGGAAACACCTTGGACAGCAGGATCTAATTTGGGTTGTTCCATGCGTAGGCGGAGTTGACTACCCTGTTGATCAGCCAGCTGAGCCTATGTTCGTGACAGTCCTCGGAAACTCCTACGAGGTGAAGGTGCAGTATCACGTCCTGAATAATATCAAATATGTCCTTCTAGATGCCCCTGTTTTTCGCCAACAAACCAAATCTGAGCCTTATCCCGCTAGAATGGACGATTTGGACAGCGCAATCTACTATTCAGCTTGGAACCAGTGCATTGCACAAGCAATCAGACGTTTCCCAATCGATCTTTACCACATTAACGACTACCACGGATCTATTGCCCCGCTTTATCTCCTGCCTCAAACCATTCCTGTTTGTTTGTCGCTCCACAATGCCGAGTTCCAAGGACTGTGGCCCATGCGCACCCAGAAGGAGAGGGATGAAGTCTGTTCTGTTTTCAACCTTGATCTTGACACTGCAAAGCGCTACGTCCAGTTTGGTGAAGTCTTTAATATGCTTCATGCTGGAGCAAGCTACCTCCGCGTGCATCAACAAGGGTTTGGTGCAGTGGGTGTTTCTCGGAAATATGGTAAACGTTCTTATGCCCGGTACCCTATCTTCTGGGGTCTGAAGAAGGTTGGAAATCTACCGAACCCGGACCCCTCGGACACTGGCGAATGGAACAAGGAATTACCGAAAGATAGCGAGATTCAGGTTGACCCGAACTACGAGGCGAGCAGAGGAGAGCTTAAGCGTCAAGCGCAGGAATGGGCGGGCTTGGATCAGAACCCCGATGCCGACCTGTTGGTGTTTGTCGGAAGATGGTCTATGCAGAAGGGCGTGGATCTTATTGCTGATGTGATGCCTGCCGTTCTGGAAGCACGTCCCAATGTCCAGCTTATCTGTGTTGGTCCGGTTATTGATCTTTATGGTAAATTTGCTGCGCTTAAGCTCGATCATATGATGAGGTTGTATCCTGGGCGTGTCTTCTCAAAGCCTGAGTTTACTGCACTTCCAGCGTATATCTTTTCTGGCGCTGAGTTCGCCCTGATTCCGTCTCGTGATGAACCGTTTGGTCTTGTTGCTGTTGAATTTGGTCGGAAGGGTGCCCTTGGTATTGGCGCTCGCGTTGGTGGCCTCGGCCAGATGCCAGGTTGGTGGTACAATATTGAGTCCACAACAACTTCCCACCTCTTGCACCAGTTCAAGCTTGCGATTGGAAGCGCACTTAACTCGAAGCCCCAAGTTCGTGCAAAGATGCGTGCACGCTCCGCAAAGCAACGTTTTCCTGTTGCTCAATGGGTGGAAGATTTGGAAATTTTGCAAACCACTGCTATGCGAATTCACAGCAAGGGGCAGGCAAAATCGAACGGTGGGCCTCTCTCGCCTTCTGGTTACAATACACCAAGTGGAATAATAACACCAAGTGGAATGATGACACCTACGATTCCATCGACTGGTACCACGACCCCAACGGGGATGCAAACACCTCCAATCGCACACTCACGAGAAGGTAGTTACTCGAATATCAACGTCAACCGTGACAGTGCATACGGGCCCCAGCAGCGCAACACGATTGTATACAGCCGTGATCCAAGCCCTGGAGGTAACGACGAGCCTAGATTAAGCCTTGGTCGGCAACTGTCACTTGGATTCCGGGCTGGACCAGGACATATTAACCTCCGTGGTCGTCGGCTCAAAAGAAGAAGTCAAATGGGTAACGAGGAGAGTGGTACAGCAACCGAAGAAAGCAGTGATGACGATTATTTCCGTGGAGACGAAGAAGTTACAATTACGAGGGAGCAAGCAGATGAAGGACGTCATCAACGCAATGCTCCGAGGTCGCTTGCATCTCCTACCAACTCATACTTTGAAGAAGGCATAATATCTGGAAGGCCACCGTGGGCTCAACCTGGGAATCGACTCAGTAGCGCATCCGTTCTTTCCGTTGATTCTGTCGTCGGTGAAAAGAAAGACTATAAGTTGCAAAAAGTTGATCCATTTTTCACAGACGGTACTGGAGAATACTATCGAGTGTTTGATCAGAGACTCGAGAAGCTCAACGGATCTAACTCCGAATCCCAGCTTTGTATAGAGGAGTATCTAATGAAGAGCGAAAAGAAATGGTTCGACAAGTTCAGAGACGCAAGATTAGGGCGCAACCAATCTCCCGCTTCTTCGATTTTCCAGACCAAGGCCGAAAACAACACACATATGAGCTCAATATCCCACGAGGATTTGGGTTCAAATGAAAGTGGTAGCGATCCACGTGCAGAAAAGGATGAGTTCCTTCTGGGACGAGACTATGTTCCCCCCTCGGGCTTAAAGAAGTGGATGCAAATTCGGATCTTTGGCTGGCCTGTGTATTCGTTTTTCCTTGGTCTCGGTCAGATTATTGCAGCTAACTCATACCAAATTACCCTGCTTGCTGGTGAAAACGGCCAGACAGCTGAGAAGCTCTATGGTATTGCGACAGTATACCTTGTCACTTCTACTATCTGGTGGTTTTTCTTCCGCTTTTTCAAGTCGGTGTTTGTCCTTTCCATACCCTGGTTCTTATACGGTGCATCGTTTGTCATCATTGGATTAGCACACTTTGAGTCGAATGGCTTCGCTCGTGGATGGATCCAGAATGTGGGAAGCGGTGTTTATGCCGCCGCTTCTTCTAGTGGGTCACTGTTCTTCGCTCTCAATTTTGGTGATGAAAGCGGCGTTCAGGTCAAAGACTGGGTTTTCCGCGCATGCCTCATCCAAGGCACTCAGCAAGCATATGTTATTGGACTGTGGTACTGGGGAACGACAATCTCTAGCGCTGTCGCCAATGGAGTTACCGATGTCAATGGCGGCATTGTCAACTCCTGGAAAATGACGTACGTAGACCCTTATTATCATTACGATTACAATTGCTAATAGCCTATTCTAGAGCAATCTGCATGCCAATCGCTGCATTCCTCTGGGCCATTGGTCTGATCATCTTCTTCGGCCTGCCAAATTACTACCGCCAGTCACCTGGAAAAGTTCCATCATTCTACAAATCTGTCTTCCGACGCAAAATCGTTCTGTGGAACTTTGTGGTAGTCATCCTGCAAAACTTCTTCCTCAGCGCACCTTATGGACGGAACTGGGCCTGTAAGTACACTAGCCCTATACTCCCTAAGAAATCGCTAACTTATCGTGCCTCATATAGTCCTTTGGAGCTCAAACCATGCTGAAGCCTGGCAAGTCGGCATCCTTGTCATTGTCTTCTTCGGCATCATCTGGGTAGCAGTGTTAACCCTGTTTGGATACCTCTCTAAGCGCCATAGCTGGATTCTACCTGTATTTGCATGCGGTCTGGGAGCTCCACGCTGGGCCCAGATATGGTGGGGTGTCTCCGGAATGGGCCTCTTCCTCCCCTGGGCTGGCAGTTCTGTTAGCGGAGCACTCGCATCACGAAGTTTATGGCTCTGGCTCGGTATTCTTGATGCCCTACAGGGTCTCGGCTTCGGTATGATTCTCCTCCAGACCCTCACACGAGTACACATCGCCTTCACCCTGCTTGCATCACAAGTGCTGGGTTCCATTGCAACAATCGTTGCCAGAGCATGTGCTCCAAACAACATCGGCCCCGGACCAATCTCGCCGGATGTTACTGCCGGTGGCAGTTCCGTCGCAAATGCTTGGTTCTGGATCGCCTTGTTCTTCCAGCTGTTGATCTGGTAAGTCATCAATACATCCACACTCCATTCCATACAAGCAAGTTCCTAACACAACCCAGTGCCGGATTCCTCCTATTCTTCCGGAAAGAGCAACTCACCAAGCCCTAAGTCAATACTACTAAACATACTCTGCACCCGACACTCAACCAACCCACGAACTCTCCGTATACAACAATATAATATGCACCTGACATCTACACGCATGTAGCCACGGCACGGCACGGGCTCCAAACAACTCAATAGACTCCAAGAAAAGCCGAAAAAAAACATCACAGTGCCAGAAAGCGGGACCCCATAGAAGCAAGAGGCGGAATACAGAAAAAACAACCGGGATTCTTCTTGTACATTAATATTTTATGTCTGACGTCCGATGTGGAGGTATTCATGTTTCTTTCCTTTTTTATCACTCTCACTTTATATACCTCCCTCCCGCGTCGTCTGTGGAGGAGGAGAGACGATTTCACTGCATATATGATGCTTTAATGGGCTATTTACTGATGATGAATCGGATGTCGTTACGTTCCTTATACAAATGCATGGATGGTTTGAAGTTTTTGTGTTTTTGCCTTGATGCACTTGTTCATTTGAGGTTTTGTTCTGTCGCTCTTTATATCCATTTGATGCTATTGTTAGGTTGTTAGTCTTATGTTTTTGTTTTTTGACTGGATTTATTTGATATTTTTTTCAATTGGCCCTTGGGGGTTTTGATTGCATGTTATGTTGGTAGAGTACGTGAGATTGATTCTTAATAATAATTCTGGACAAGGCATTGTTCATACACTTATTAAATAGTTATTGTATTTGTTGTGAAAGCTAGGCTTCTTTGGTTATCTAGCTGATCAGGTATTTATAAATAATCATTCTTAGCCCAAAACCTTTCCCAATATGGTTGTAATAATTCCTTCGCCAATATAACCTATTACCAAGAATCAAGAGAGTATAGCTGCATAAACGTCGTATCGTACCCGAAATGAAAGAGAAAGAGAAAAGCTAACGGCACTGGAACTTTTTGTTTACCATTCCAAAGGCTCGGTCTTGACATCTCCCCGGTTGGTCTTAGGAAGAGGAGCAGCCTGAACCATGGTGGCACCACGGTTGCCACGCTTCAGATAGCCACTTCCATCGAGCCAGGGAGTTTCGAGAGTACGCTTGGTCTCGAACGTGCGGATCTTGCCTTCCATTTGGAGGGTCAGGCCGATGTCGTCCAGGCCGTTGACCAGGCAATGCTTGCGGAAAGCATCAACGTCGAACCCGGAGAGCCTGTTGCCCTGGGCATCCTTGATTTCCTGGTTGACGAGGTCGACTTCAATCTCACGGCCTGCGCTGGCCTCCGCGGCGATCTTCTGCAAAGCGGCTTCGTCGGAGATCGGGATAGGGAGCATGCCGTTCTTGAAGGTGTTGTTGAAGAAAATGTCAGCGAAGGAGGGAGCGATGACACACTTGATGCCGAAGTCGAGGAGGGCCCAAGGTGCGTGTTCACGAGAGCTACCACAGCCGAAGTTGGGACCGGTGACGACCAGGATCTTGGAGTTGCGGTAGACACCCTGGTTCAGGATAAACTCGGGGTCTTCCTGGCCATCCTTGTAGCGCAGCTCATAGAAGAGCGCGCTACCAAGACCGGTCCGCTTGATGGTCTTCAGGAACTGCTTGGGAATGATGGCGTCAGTGTCGACGTTGGAGCGGTCCATGGGGGCAGCAATGCCCTTAAGGGTGGTGAACTTGGGCAGGCCAGCGCTCGAGCCGGCAGAGGTGTTGGTGTGGGGTTCGTTGTCTGCGGGCTGGTCCAAGATACGGTCGAGTTCTTCCTCAGTGTCGACATCTTCCGCCTCCGGCTGGACATCAACCCTGGGTTGTACCTTGCCCAAAACGGGGCTAGTGACAACATGCTCACGGACATCCGCAAGCTTTCCGACGATACCAGCTGCCGCAGCCATGGCAGGGGACATCAGGTGAGTACGACCCTGAGCACCCTGGCGACCCTCGAAGTTACGGTTCGACGTACTAGCACAGCGCTCCTTGGGCGAAAGAATATCGGGGTTCATACCCAGGCACATGGAACAGCCAGCTTCTCTCCACTCAAAGCCAGCGTCAGTGAAGATCTTATCGAGACCTTCGGCTTCAGCCTGTTGTTTCACGAGACCTGAACCAGGGACGACCATCGCGCGCTTGACATTAGGGGCGATCTGCTTACCCCTAACGACCTTAGCAGCTGCCCGCAGATCCTCAATACGAGCGTTCGTGCAAGAACCGATAAAGACCTTATCAATCTGGACCTCCTTCATAGGAGTACCAGCCACGAGACCCATGTACTCAAGTGCACGCTTGCAGGCAAGTTTGCGGTTCTCATCCTCAAAGTCATCGGGTCCTGGAACAACGCCATTGATAGGAATGACATCCTGAGGAGAAGTACCCCAGGAGATAGTTGGGATGATTTCCTTACCATCAAGCACGATTGTCTTGTCATAGACAGCGCCTTCATCGGAGGCCAGGCTCGACCAGTAGTTGACAGCCTTCTTCCACTCAGCACTGTCGTACTTCGGGGCGAGAGGACGACCCCTGAGGTAGTCAAACGTGATCTGGTCGGGTGCGATCATGCCAGCACGAGCACCAGCCTCAATAGACATGTTACACATCGACATACGAGCCTCCATGCTCAAGCCGCGAATAACAGAGCCGCAGAATTCGATAACGGCACCAGTACCTCCGGCAGTTCCGATAACACCAATGATATGGAGAACAACATCCTTACTAGTAACACCTGCGGGGAGCTCTCCATCGACCTGGATACGCATGTTCTTACTTCTGCGAGAGATAAGGGTCTGGGTGGCGAGGACGTGCTCGACTTCACTTGTACCGATACCGAAAGCGAGGGCGCCAAACGCACCGTGTGTTGAGGTATGGCTGTCACCACAAACGACTGTCGTTCCAGGAAGAGTAAAACCCTGCTCTGGGCCAATGATATGAACGATACCCTGGCGCTTATCTCCCATGCCAAAATATGTAAGTCCGAAGTCCTTTACGTTCTCTTCCAGTGTGGCACATTGCAGACGGGAGTCGGTCTCTTCGATAAACTCTTCGACGTTCTTGAAGTTCTTTCGAGTGGATGTTGGGATGTTCTGCGTCTGAGTTAGCTTCAATGTCATAGGGACGTGGGAAACTTTTGTTGACATACGTGATCAACTGTGACAAGAGTGCAGTCCGGCCGGCGGACTTTCCGACCAGCATTCTTTAGACCCTCAAAGGCTTGCTATGGGAGTGTTAGACCTTCGCCAAAGTACCGTTCGGAACAAGTTGACGGATTGTATAACTTGAATCGTGTGGCGCGGCGCTACTTACTGGTGAAGTCACTTCGTGGACAAGATGTCTATCTGTAGAACGATGTCAATCAAACATGAATTAAACAAATCAAAAGCCGAATGGAGGGAGAGAACTTACCGATATACAACAAGATAGTACCATCTTCTTGCTCATTGACAATATGCGCATCCAAGACCTTGTCGTATAAGGTCCTGGGCTTCTTATCGGCAGCAGGCATGAGGGGCAGAGGAGAACAGGGTAGGAGAGAGGGAAAGGAGGGAGTTATGGAAACAAACGAACAAGCTAGACACAGACACTTGCGTCTTTGCCAACAGTTCTGAAGGAATTATATCTAGGGAACCTGGACAAAATACAGAGATACCTTGGGGAACATTTTAACCCTCTTTAAGACCGCGATGTCGCAGGGCCGCCATCGAGGGGCATCCCCGATCTCGGCTGGTCAGCGGCCAATATCCGGGTGGCAATTGGCCGATTTCGACGCCCCACAGTTCCCCGGGCCCCGACACCGGTGGCTGCGCGCTTAGCCGCGGCGGAGATCACGGGTCCTGACTAACGTTGGGGACGTGATTGCTTGATTTTGAGACAAGAAACCCGCTAGATCAACCGTGCCGTTGCTCTGCGTCACTAGTGTGAGAAAGCTCTTTATGGTCTCCGATACTTTCTCACTGGTCGGGTCGCATGGCCAGACCCGAGTACAGAGTAGACGAGTAGTAGTCAATTCCACATCCTCCTATCTGTAATAAAAAAAATCATGGCATGCGTCTCTTCATAAAGTAAAGAATACTTACCCTAGAGTACTCCGTGTGGAGGCAGTATTTCAAAGCGGGAGCTGAGACCGTACTATGACGTAATAGAATCTCTTAGTTGTGTACTTTATTTAGTATAGCTGTAACATACACATTCAAATCTCAGTTCAACATAAACACCTACGCTACACAAATCACAACAAGAAACACCTTATGGCGGGGTGATAGGCTTGGATGCCGGCACAAAGGCTAGCTGGGCGTTTGCTGCCAGCAATCCAGTTGCACGGCCCGTCACCTTCGGGTCGGGTCCAATGAAGTTGTTGGGGAATCCGACATCCAGTGGCTGGACACTCTCGAGGTATTCAATTTGCTCCGGCGTCAACTTGATCTTCAAAGCTGGATATTGTCATGTAGGTGTTCCACCTTTCTGCCGCCAACCAGTGGGAAGACATTAGTTGCTTTGTGCATGACATAGGCCAAAGCAACAGCCGTTACAGATTCAATGCCATGCTCTGATGCAACCTTGGCCAGTGCTTCACTCATTTTCACTTCATCCTCGATCTGCTCGCCTGCTCCAGTGAAGCTTCTCAATCCTTCATTCTTCTTCTTCCGCTCCTCTAGTGCCTTCTTGGTCTGGAACCTGCCCCCGCCGAGGACATCCCAAGGGGCTAGAGCCATCCCAAAATGACGCGCCATAGGGATAATCTCACGTTCGAAATCACGTATCATCACATTCCACCGGCCTTGGTAGATAGTGAAGGGGGTCTTACCATGAGCCCGAGCGTAAGTGTTGGCGGCACTCACAACCCACGCAGGGGAATCCGAGATTCCTAGGTAGAGTACTTTGCCCTGTTCCACCAAAATGTGAAGGCTGTCCATGATTTCCTCGATAGAGGTGGTATGATCCCACCAGTGAAGGTATAGAATATCGATCCAGTCCGTTTGGAGCTTGCGCAGGGAGTCACGCACACTCATGTGTAGACTGCGGCGGTGGTTACCGCAGTGGTTCGGTGCGTTGCCCTTTCCAAGTGCATACGACTTGTAGTCCGTAGTGAATTTGGTCGCAATGACGAGTTGATCACGATTCTTCCGGGAAGTCATCCATTCGCCTAGCCAAGCTTCCGATTGCTCGTTTTGGTAGTTGTTGGCAGTGTCGATGAAATTGCCTCCGGCTTCGACGAAGGCATCCAACAGCTTGAAGGAGGACTCTTTGTCCATGGATCCCATAAAGCCAGACCATGAATCCCCGATGGACATAGCACCCAGTTGCAGTGGCGACACGCGGATGCCCGCGGTTGAAGATAGGACGCGGTAGCGACCCAGCTCGGTGGAGGGCTCTGGGGCAGGCGCGAAGATTGCGGACATGTTGAAATATATACTCTTCAAGTGTATGAAACAAAGCTTTGAATCAGAAATTGATACTAAGTAATGTACACAAGAACCATCCACCCCAATCCTGATTGTGGCCCGTATTTATAACTCCCATGTTGGACCCAGTCTGCACGGAGTTATGGATGGAGTTACATCATAACCGCAGTTAACAGGTATTTTGAGTTGAAATTTCCCATGGGGTTAAGACACGCTTAGGCCGATGGATGACAGGTGGAATAATCCAGATCGGCGACAGGAGTAGCTAAGTTTAGTATGTACCTTAACTCCGGGGTCTGGTGGGGCTGAATAGTGTTCCCTCTCCCGTTTATCTCCGTGCATGGGATGACCGTTGTGTACAGTGGGATGCCAAAAGTTTGAAACTATCCGCTTGACCGCCTAACATACCGCTATATTTCAACCTTATCAAATTCAGTGCTTGAGCCTACACACCTCTATCTACACATTAAATTATAGCTTCTAGAGAGGATATAGATATAAGTTATTGAGTTAGATAGCTGGTATAGTAATTATTAAGACCCAGGGAGGGAGTTTGCGAGATTTCTGCCACACAGAATAGTAAAATTAGGAAAGCGGTTAAACTGGGCAATAAATGGACGGTTTCAAACTTTTGACATCCCACTGTATCATGTCCCAAACATTAAAAACTCGGAGTTCTATACATTTTGTCGAAATACGGAGGTATTTGATCCAAATTTGGCCATCATCAAAATAGGACAATACACAATCTAGTTGTACTTGGATCTCAATCGGAAACCAGGCATTGAATCGGTGTAGTATACTATAAGGCAGCGGGGGACCATTTACATGGGTGCTCTAGAGGGGAATTTTTCCACCCAGAATCTTAATGGGATGCGAATAATGGTGAAATCAATCCTCTGAAACACTGTACTTACCCTATCTTAAGTGGTGAAGAGGCATTGAATGAGCGCCGTTTTGAGGTATAGAAACCGCCTCCCACCTGGGGGCCATTCAAGTCATTGAAGGGGTGGATTAGAGATAATCCTATCCTCTTGAATTCCTCTATCAAAAACTAGCTACATGGCTATGGGGAAAGAAGTACTGGCTGTTATCCGATGCACCGAAATAGTACGATGGCTAACGATGAATACTGGAGTCTAGGGCAATTGCCTGACGCCTCCCCTGACCCAGAAGAATAACTATCTCTCCGTCTGTTTCCTTTTATTTTTTTTTCAGTTACAGTGGCTTCATTCTGTCCTGTGTCTCCTTCCTTCCTCCTGTTATTCTCTCATGTTTTCATTAAACCTATGATGAGGGTTATGTCACCATGTGGCAGTCTTGTCTTTCATGCTAAAGTTGCTATTACATCATAGTTATAGTACGCGACTACTAATATCATAAGTCGTAGTACATTAACAGTATCAATACTCTCGGCGTTACTAAACTTTATATTGATCTTTATTTGAGTCAATATAGTAGGTAAAACCCTCTTTAAATATAGCACATTACCATACCTTTGCTTTGATATTAATCCTATACCCCCTCAATATTAAGCTTCTAGTATAGATTATATATCCCTTCCCCTAATAGCTAGTACTCTGTTTACTAGTCCTTCTATTACCAATCCTGGAATCCTTTACATAAAAGATCTTTTACCTACCACGACTAAAGATAGTGAAATCGAAATATAGATAGCAGGGTAAAAACTATACAGCTGTTATAGATAGCATTTCTTTATCTCTTGCTACTAGATATATATGCGAAGTTAGCTCTAAGAGAAAGGAATAACCCCAGTACTTTAAGACTGGACAGTATGAGACTATAAGGTACGACTCCATACGAAATACTTATGGAGGATAGTGGAGATATAGGTAAGGGACTTACCTTCAGATTCATTGATAATTGACAATGAGTCCATCTTCAGTTCTATTCTATATTAATGAGGCAAAAATGCACGGTTATCTTCGCGAAATATGAGCAATGCCAGCCGATGCCGCACAAATAGACCGAAAAGCCCACAGACAACTTGAACCGCAACCATACTCCATGCCAGCCGATTCTCTTTCATTGGTCCCATCCACACCAGCCACAGATTAAGTATCGTCAAGTTAGTTGATTCCACAATTTGACCTTGGTCGTTTTTTTGTAACACGCACCAATCGCAGCCGATGAAGAAGCTCCAGCCAACGGCGAGTAGTGGCGAAGGTGGTACCGTCCACTCCGTCACAGAAGCGTCAAGCAGTCCAGTCACGGCATTAAACTTGGGCAATCTGTGCCGAGGACAAGGAATCAACTTGAACAGTTGCGGGGTCGAATATAGGAAATTGAATATCTGCGGTATAAAAAGCAGAAGTAACGTTTTACTGAAATGTCCCAGGATACCAACGACGGCAAAAACCATCCCCGCAAAATAGCAGTAGGTGTCTCCGACGAACACTTTGGAGGGGTACCAGTTGTGCAACAACAGGGCCAACGACACTCCAACAAATGGAAGCAAGAAATAAAGGGAGAAGAGATGCGAATCAGTGGCAGGGTGGGGATACGGCGTGATGGGCGCAAGATACAGCGCATCATTCGCTATGAGCAAGGTTGCGATCACCAGAGACTGAGCTACCTCAACTCCGTTAATCCCTGCCAACATGTTGATGGAGTTAGGGCAGAAAATAGCCACTGCAGCCATGTATACGTAATACAGCCATCCGAGATCAACAAATGAGCCCAAGTAAGGCTGCAAGGGCACTGGAACGACAACCTGTGTGACACCAAAGTCCACAAAGTAAACTATAAGCATTGGGATTGCTCCGAAGGCTGGTATGAGAACTTTGTGTCTCCATCGGATGTCAAGAAGGTCATCACCCAATCCCAGGATGACAATACATTGCAGAGAAAGGAGCCCAGAGAGGTACGATGCAAGCTACAAACTTTGTCAATAAAGCGATTTAAACAAAAAGCAGCTAGAGAATCACAAACCCTTCCGTGAGGAAATCGGTGGAGCATACGACCAGTCTCAACGTGATGAACTTCAAGAACAACATCACGGTTACCTCCACCTGAAGTGGCGGCCACAATGTCTTTGTAAAAAGCAAATGGAATAAAGAAGATAAGCGCCAGAAGATACACAACTGCGCATACGGCGCCCATTGTCTCTGGGCTGGTACAGGAGAAAGTTAGTTCCAAAATCATCTAGTGATTGCGCTCCGCAGTTCATTACAGCAACAATTGTCAAATTAATACATACATTTCAGGTCTCTTTGGTTTCGCCATATCTCTTCCCTTCAACCCTGCCTTCATGAAAACTGGCCCCAGCCATCTAATCAGGCTGTACGCGACTGCAAACACAATTCCACTAAATGCAATGGATGCTACCAAAGGCGCGCCCTCATCCTGGAAGGTGTTGAGAAGGATGCTAGCACAGATGCCCACTAGCATCAAGAGACGCCAGGTCTCCTGGAGAGAAAGAGAACTCGAATTCATCATAAATGACAAAATTGCAGCATTTCTCCCCTAGCCGTGTAAGTGTTCCTCTCTACTGGGACAGAGTCTAAAGATCAATAGAGAGAGCCACTTATAGATCCCGTATAGAAAGATCAATGGAAGCAATCTGGCTTCAAGGCGATAATTCTGCCAGATAAATTTGACCGCTTATCTCGGGCGGTAGGTCAGAAGCTGTTCAAAGATCATCCGCCCGTCGTGTGCCTTACGTAATGCTTCATTATTGACCCGTTTGTTGCTTCATGCACGCTTGTCTGGTCCCATACATGGGTGAAAGCGTCGTCATTCTTTTGGCACATACGCAACTTATCGGCCCCCTAATTACGCGTGTATATTACTCGCAGCGTAGTGGCTGGCACTGAAATTCTAATTGGTGATTTTAAACCCAGCCCGAGATGTCTGGATTCGCCGATTTCGACGCCGGTCATCGTGACTTGATAACTGTCACTAAATTCAATTTCTATGGTAATCGCATTGTTACGGCCTCTTCTGATCACCGTATGAAAGTATGGGATCAGAAAGATGGCGAATGGCAATTAACTGACACCTGGCGTGCACATGATGCTGAGATCCGCGATGTAAGCAAAACCACGTTCCATAGTATTCAGTTCCCTCTGTAGTCCGTACTGTGCCAAATGCATACTAACTGGTTTCCTAGGCAAGCTGGAATGGTCCGTTTACGGGCCAACATATAGGTAGTGTTGGTGAAGACATGAAATGCAAGATATGGCAAGAAGATGTCACTCAACCTCCTAACTCTGGCCGACGCTTCCGGTCTATCTTTCGCATGACGGCACCGCACCGGCATCCGTTCGTCTCAATTGACTTCCGCAATATTGACCTCGAGTCATGGCTTGCTGTCATTACACGAGATGGGTTCCTGATGGTCATGGAACCCGTAAGTCCAGATACACTTGCGGACTGGCAGCCTCTTGATCAGTTTCGTGTTTGCACTGCACCCCAAAGGGGAGAGGAAACAAGTTTCAAGGTGCAATTCCACCACGACCCCACAGATATCACCCACTCTGTTTTGCCATCTTCGGATCGTAAAAGCCTCTCACTGGTAGTGGCAGCTATGGACAGTGTGAAAGTATATCGCACCGATGCCAGTCGACGTTTCTATCACGCAATTGAGCTGTCGAGCCATGGAGGCCTTGTGAGAGACATATCTTGGGCCAATGGCTCCGTTCGTGGCTATGATCTTATTGCTAGTGGTTGCAAGGACGGCTTCATCCGAATTTTCGAGATTCACACATCCGCCGCGGACAACGAGCCTCACGGTTCGAACGGCGAGCAATCCCGCCCATCCACACAATCATCTTCGATCCGTGCAACAGCGCAATCGGGCATAGGTTCCGCCCTTGCGAGTCGCGCTCCAATGTCTATGGCCAGCCGCTCGGCAACAGGAGATGCTCAATTTAAGCATACCTATAAGGAAGTAGCGTGCATCGACAGCAAACATCTCGACGTGTGGCAGGTGGGCTTTTCGTACGCTGGTCAGTAATACCCCGCTGAACTGCCCG